TTGATTGATTTTTGCAATTTTCCCATCATATGTCCTTATAAAATTACTAAAATCAGTTGAAGACATTCTACACTAGATACAGAAGTATCACAGTCTTAACACAAATATCAAAAAGACATAAGTCAATATTTTTAAATCTCCATATGTATATATGACAACCTAAAAAAATAATACAAATAATATTTAATCAATAACACCAAGAAATTTATAAATCAAGTGTCAGATAATCTATTAGCAATTTATCACTATTCCTGCTGCATTTCTACATTCTTACTTTTTATGGGAGCTAGAAGTCTGGAAGTTACTTTCTTAGAATCCTTTGTAAGTTAGGTCCAAGTTAAATTTCTGCTTGAGACACACAAGTAGGAGCTAAGGAAGGCCCTAAGGAGGAGCTCCCATTGTGGTGGGCTGGCATGTGGGCTTCAGCAGAAGGTAGAGTGAGGACAGACCACAGGCTTCCAGAGGTAATGCAGGCAGTTAGCATTATTGACATTAGTTAATTTCTTGATTTTCTGAAGTCTAGCAGTGAATTTTCTGACATTTATTTTTCTATGTCTCCAAACGTTTTTAGAAAATTCGTACTTTCGTATTAAATTCATTTCTGCTTCAAATACCTATAATGATTTTGGGCTATGTGATATACCAGAAATGGTTCAGGAGACAGACCCAGTAAAATGGTAATCTACAACCATTTGCACATGTTTGATCATATTTAAATGAGGTAGAACTGTTGAATAAGGGTAATAAGATACTGGTAATCCATGATTTTCAGGTCAAGCCAATATCTTAAATTATTACCCACAGTTGTGCAAACTAAAGAATTGACTTTGGGAAAACATATGACTATTTCCATAGACTGTGGTAGAATAGAGAATTTATAAAGTTGTTGAGAAGAATGATTATTTCTGACTAGAGTAGAGGAAATGAAAAGTCAAAAGTATAATCTCTGTGCTTTAAATTCTCAGTGAAATGTATGCTGAGGGAGTCAGAAATCTGTGACTGCTAAAAAGAGTGTATATCTCTTATAGCCTAAGAATCAATATAACTGTAAATCAGACTATGATTTGAAATTCTGAGTGGTAAAATTACAACTTAAGTAAATTTCATGGTTTTATTAGGTCTCTTATGTGAAAATTAGGGTAATGATTGAGAACGTGTGGGACACTGAAAATTGGAATGAAGACCTTGAAATTTTGAGACTTAGCTTACTTTGGCATCAAAAGTAGCTTTTTCTTATTTCTGAAAAAGGAAGTTGTCCCTTATTTGAATTCCTTATAATGACAGTCAACGAGGGATACTGATTCTCCTTAAGGCCAACCTCCAATACACCTGAATACCTACTGACATGCAAGTAGAGCGGAATTCCAGAAGGTTACCATTATAATCAAAAATTAGGACCTTAGAAAAAATAGCATATACTGAAAATCACCAAGAAATTTCAATTTGTAAGAAAATATCATTTAAGACAACTGCAGCTTAATCACAAAATTGTAAAATAAGAAAGTGAACAAGTAACTAAAAAACAATGGAAGTAGACTTGTTTCATAATATAAGCAAAAAGAAACATATTGCTAGCAAAAACTCACTGTAACAACAAAGTTTAATTTAATTATAGTTACAGTATTATATACAGGGAAAGTCACATAGTCATAAATAATTTAGAAATCTGCTGAAGAGTTAAAAACAGGGAGTCACTCACTGTTGTCCATCAAATTTTCCCATCAAATTTTCCCATCAAAAATGGCTATACCAAATTAAAGATATCAAACACTATCTAACTAGTTAAATGCATTAAATAAATCTTGGATGAAGAGAACCTGAAAGATAAAAAATATCTTAGAGAACATTTAGTCCACCATTTGAACTTAACTATAAAGTCAGAGGCCAAAATGAGTGTTAGTGACTTGTAGGAAACCCACTTGAAATAGAAATGAAAATCATTTCACCCCACTTATTACATGCTTCATGGAAAGCATGCCTGTTATTATTTTTGGAAATGGATTATATAGAACAATATATCTATGAATTAAGAAATGTAAACATTTTACATCTCTAAAATACATTATTTATAAGTGATATACATTATCAACAATGGTTCAAGTTTGGTTTGCTTTAGGTTTTATTTTCAGTTGAAATATCAAATTGAAAGCTACCATATGCATGATAATCAGAACTAAACTTTTATTGATGTATATATACTTTCTTTTTACAAAAAAAAAGGGGTTTTGGGCAACTTATTTCAAAATGATACAGTACCAAAGCACTCAAAACAAAATTCAAGAAATTGACTTAGACCAAAAATATCAAGAATCTAAACCAAGGAAATTTGTGATGAATTAGTATGAAATGATTTACTAGATTTTCTAATAGTTCATCAAATGGTTCATATGGCTATTAGGAGCAAAATTTTTCTCAAAATGTTTCTAGTGTCCCTTCCAACTATGAAATATATGCATGAGTTGAAATTTTAAATATATTTTCCAAAACAAAAATGCTACAAATGGTAGAAAAATGTATTTGCATTAATACTTTCTAAGTTAAATATGAACATGTAAACTGTAACAGAAACTTAGTTTTCTAAATTATTTTATTATACTTAGTATATAATTATATTTGCAATTTATATCTATTTATATTATTTATCATATGCTTATTTTTATATTTTAATTATATATATATATTTATAGTTATATTTATAAAGTGTGTTTGCCTTGTTCCCAAAAGACCTAATTAAGATAGTTCATAAGAACAAAAAAAGGACAAGAGAATATGTATTTTAGACAAAACTACTACTATAATAGTGTTACCATATGGAATGTGAGGGCTAAGGTCCAAGTACTAAAACATAAAAGAAAAGATAGGAAGGAGGAAGAAAAGAGCAAAGGAAAACAGATCAGGAGGAGAGAAAAAATATTAAAAATATAAGGAAGACATAAGAATTATTTTCAGCTTGGGATTGTCCTCAATTGTAAGGCTAATGGCTCTTCATGCAAATATAAACTAGGACTTGTCAACATAGAAAAATTCATGGTATATGTAAGAATAATAGGTTTTTGTGCAGAGGTAAGCACTGACAGTCTGGTTAGCTCTTTCAACGTGTAAACCAAGACTCCCCAGACCTTGCAGGTGGGAAATATATTACTATCAACTCTGTGACCACTCAGCACCATGACATGAAGTGTCTGTTCAGGAGGTCATTTCCAAAATGTATCCCATATATCTTCATACACAAGAGATGATAATTTATCACCTAGACATAGGGATCTACTGTAAACTAATCCAAACTGCTGATGATACACTAAATCAGTTTGAGTGATGAGTATAAATAAAGCTGCAAGCAAAGTACTGAAGGATACAGATCTATCTGATCAATGAGATGTCACAAGGCAAATGAAATGCAATGTTGACAAACATAGAGTCCCTTAGTTGAAAATTAACCAAATCAAGTACCAGAGCATAAAGGCACACATGAGTACACTCTTTAAATGAAGAATTAATATAATGGAAATCATTCTGTTTCAGATAAATCTGAAGATACTGGGTCAATGGAAAAGGGTGTATCAAAAATCGATGTATTTTACATACCATAGAAAGTACAATAGGATATAGAAAAATGCTGCAGAAGAATAATCCTTTCCAAATAACATAACAATAGTTATTCAACCTGCCAAACAAGTTCATATACACTGATGAGGAGAAACAATAAAAATTGTATAAAGAAAATGATTTCACATCAACTTGCTACCAGGAAATCAAATTTAATTTGTGTTGCCCTTATGAAAGCTTAGATATGTTCTGGAATTGTTACCCTACAACTTCAAAAGGGAAAAACAAAGGAGGGTGATAAGGAAGGACATTCCTCTGGAGAGTTGATATGCATGGAGGGCACTCTTTGAGAAAAAAGATTTTCCCAATTATGTGATCAGAATAGAGACCTTACCACCCAGCAAATTGGTTCAGTTATTCTGAAGGCTTCCCAGTGGAAGAGCTGATTAAAGTAAATGTCCACCCCTGTTGACACAAATCTGTAAAAAATATTTTCTAAAGGAAATCATTCTTTAAGAAATTTACATATTTTTTTGTTATGTTAAGTATATATAACTTTGTCATAACATTTAACTCTTGCTTTGTGTTTTATCTTTTACTTTACTTTGGGAAAAGATAGAATTATACTAACAAAGTATGACCTGATCCCATATGTAGTTTATTTAAATTTCAAAATGAAAAGCTTACTAAGAACAGATAAGATTGATTGCTCTCTCTGTCTTAGCATAATTGTATTTCAGGTGAACATCAATTTACTTTAAAGGACACTTCTAAGTAGCAGAATGCATCATAAATAATTCATCAATCACAGCTGCTAGGAACATGATTTACACCAACAGATTCAATGGGAAAAAAGTTCAATTTTTCTATATTTGTGTAAGAATCATGCTTTTCTATGAGTCTACTCTTAGATTTTACACTCCATATTCTAAATATAGAAGGATTTTTTTTTCCTTTTTAAAAACATTGCATTTTCAAAGTAAAATAATATTGAAATGTGTTTGGAACAAGATTTACGTCTATCAAACACAAAGCAAAAACATAAAAGGCACATATCTCAAAAACAGCATTAAGATTCTGTCAAATTCATAATTCTAATAAAGCTAACAGACTTTGTGTTCACTTTATAAAAACTTTAATTGAAGAAGAGGAAAGTAGGCTTTCAGAAAATATATTTAGGATATGACATATTTGAAAATTATTTCACTTTATAAGTACATGTTAAAGAGATCTAAATTGTACAACAATTAGAGCTGTTTTGGTTGATACAGTGAACATCCTAAGTGTAACCTTCATTTGTCATGCGGGACACTGCTTACCTTACATACACATCATACAGCTTTCCATCAAATTCAGCAATTCTGTATTAGCAATTTCCCATGTTGTGAAAAATCTTTACAATATATATATATTAACAAGGAAAATGTAGTGGAATATAGAAAGCATTTACTTACTTGCAGACCTCTCTGAAATACTGAATGGCCCATAAAATTAGCCAGCATTCTAATTAAAGCAGCACCCTGTAGGAAAAGGTATTTAAAAGAAAAAAGAAAAAAAAAAAGAATTTCAACTAAGTAACACAATTCTAAATTTATCCTGTAACAATCAAAAATAGTCTGCTTTATTCATGCTACATTATTCTTAAAAATAGTTAAGAAACCAGAGAATCATGAATACAATACCCACTTACAGGTAGCAATTGTGTATATAAAATTTCTGTGAACAGAAAATCAATAACAAAAATAAAAAGTCTCCTGGACAGAGTATCCCAAGACAATATAATGAGTGATAATTCAAGAGTAATAAAAATTTTACTGAACAATGTATATGAAAAAATTAATAAAACATGGCTCTTCTTAAGAGCTCATAATTTAGTGAAGAACTATCCATGTTAACAATCATATTAAAATACAGCTTTGAATATATAACATACTGTTAGCTCAACCAAGACTAGTTAAGCTATGGAACATAGCTATATCAAATAATCATACTACTTGGGTTCAAATTTTGGCTCTGCCAATTATTTGCCATATTTACTCTCAAAAAAATTATTTAATTTCTTTGTTTCACACTTTCTTATTTGCAAAGTGTAGGCAATAATGGTTCTGATTTAATATGGTTATTCTGAAACTGAATTGAATTAATATATGGAAGACATTTCAATAATAGTGTTAGCTATTAGTATTACATTTTACTTTCTTATTTCTTTTTTATTTCTTTTCCTATTTCTTTTGGATGCTAAATATAACCATATATATTCATGTATGTGTAAACCATATGATCAATATATAAATATTTAGAGTAATAGAAAAAAATATTAATTTAAGAAATTATATGAATTTAATTGTTCCTACTCTGGAACAATGATTATACTGTAGAACAATATCAGTGTATCACCACCAGTATGACACATGCTAAGTATTAAGGTTGAAGGCTTGATGATGACAAATCTGTATGTAAAATATAAATAAGTCTTCAAGAAGATACTCCAATATGTACTGGAATTTTTTTGACATAGTGAATAATAGCAGCAAAAGTTTAAATATAAATGATAGACTTGATTTCAGGGAGATAAGTATTTATGTCTGTATATCACATTTCATACTCATAAATTCACACCCTTCATAACTTACTGCTTACCAGGTGTCTATTTTTTATAAGAGAATCATAGAATCCACATATAGAATGTTCTGCCTGAAACTGGACTGTGGCTGTCAGACCAAAAGCAGAAGTTAATATTCATTGTTTGTTACTATAATTATTTTCTATAATTCTAGGGTTTTAATGACTATGAATCATTATTAAAGAAATGTTTCAGAAATTTTCAGTCATCACCAAAAAAACTGCTAACAAAATAGGTATTTTATTTGCATCTCAAAATGATGAGCTGAACAAGCCAAGGGTTTTATGGCTCTTCTGATATATTTTCCTCCCACTCTTTTTACTCTTTGCTCTTTCTTTTCCTTCTTCCTCCTTACCTTCTGCACACTAGTATAAGTCCATAAACTATAAGCATTTATGATTCAATCTGGGGAACAGGTTAGAATTCCCTTTAGAACTTAGCAGCTTACTCCTTGAATTACCTTGACAAGCTCTCCTCCTATACATTTCCCAATCTAATCTGCCTACGCTGAGGGTGGAAACTGTCAGTGCTGCAGTAAAACTAACCCTTGCCACCTGGAGAGGGAGACTTAGAATCTCAAGCAGTCTACTTCAAGTTTCTTTCAGAACAGAAGAACCATGTTCAGATGATTTAAGAGAATCCCTTCAGGTAATGATGGCTTGGTCTCTTGTCAAGCTTTAAAAATGATCAATTTAGCATGCATTTTTTTTTTTTTTTTTTTAAATAATAAATTTTATTTTTATATTCCCCCATACAATTGCAAACGCCCCATTCTGACCCCAATCCTTCCCCTCCCGCCCCCCACCCCCCAAAAAGTGTCTCTGGTTCATAGTTTTTTGTTGATTTTGATTTTCACTTTCTTATATTCATTTTCCTGGTCCCTTATTTAAGTTTTCTAGATTCCTGCTATGAGTGAGACCATCCGGTATTTTTCTTTTTCTTTTTGGCTTATTTCGCTGAGCATGATCCCTTCCAGCGCCATCCATGTTGCTGCAAATTGCATGTGTTTATCTTTTTTGAATGCTGAGTAATATTCCATGGTATATATGTACCACATCTTCTTGATCCAGTCATCTATTTTTGGGCATTTGGGTTGTTTCCAAAGCTTAGCTATTGTAAACAGTGCTGCTATAAACATAGGGGTGCAGGTGCTCTTTGGAATTGATGTTTCTGTGTCCTTTGGGTAAATACCTAGGAGTGGAATTGCTGGATCATATGGAAGCTCTATGTTTAGTAGGTCCAGAAATCTCCACACAGCTCTCCATAGTGGTTGGACCAGTTTGCACTCCCACCAACAGTGCAGAAGAGTTCCTTTTTCTCCACAACCTCGCCAACATTTGTTGTTGCTAGTTTTTTTAATATGTGCCATTCTCACTGGTGTGAGATGGTATCTCATGGTAGTTTTGATTTGCATTTCCCTGATTACAAGTGATGTTGAACATTTTTTCATATGCCTGTTGGCCATTTGCATTTCCTCTTCAGAGAAGTTTCTTTTTAGCTCTTCTGCCCATTTTTTGACTGGATTATTTTCTTTGTTGTTGCTGAGTCTCATCAGCTCTTTGCAGATTTTTGTGATCAGTCCTTTATCATTAGTGTTGGGTACAAAAATGTTCTCCCAGTTGGTGGGGTTTCTCTTTGTTTTTGTTATTGTCTCTTATGCTGTGCAGAAGCTCTTTGATTTGATGTAGTCCCAGCTGTTTATCTTTGCCTTCACTATCACTGCTTTGGGTGATGTGTCTGTAAAGATGGCTTTGATGTGCAAATCCCGTAGTGTTTCGCCTATATTTCCTTCTATGTATTTTATATACATAAAATACAATTTAGCATGTTCTAATGGCAAAAAAGTCTTGTCTAATAATAAAGAATGTACCCGTTTTCCTGTCTGGGTTGAAATAGAGCAGAGTGCCAACAGGAAATAAAACCTAGAAATTCAATCAGTATTTAAGACTATAAAATATCACTGAACTTAATAATAATAACAATATTTAATTTTATTAACTTTTTAAAACTGTCAGTATTGCCCACTTGAATTTTTTTTTTTATTCTCCAGAGTAGCATGCACTCTTTCTATTATAACTAGTCTTTCTTTCCAAAGTCAAATTTTAAAATTCTTATTTCATAGACATTCATAGATGGGTCCTCCAACTTCCATTGTTCAGTTAGCATACATTAAATAACTACTATGAATGGGTTATAACAAAGATCACACCTCTCAACACAAACATAACTCACTATGACATTGATTCTCCTTTTATTATGTCTTTAAACACTTTTTTTTAACCAAGGGAATATCATTTATAATATTGTAAATTATATTCATAAAACAAAATTCCAGCTCCAATGAAACAAACTGGATGCTTTAGCTCTTTGGAGCTTAATGAAATTAAATACATCATTTCTACAATTTTTCAAAAATAATTTAAGACTTGTTCAGGAAAACATCACTATTCTGCTATACTGACATTCAGAGAGATTCTAGCATGGAAACAATTGATTTTTCTTTCATAAAAATGTTACCAATGTAGTAGTCCCATTGCACAGATAGATTCCTAGGGATTGTTTTGGTTTGGTTTGGTCTGTTCCTTTGTCTTGTTTCTCTACATTCCATATATGAATAGTGGTGATGACTCAAGGGAGTATGGTGAAGGACTATGGGTGCATTGGTGGTGCGTTGCGGTAACCTATATCTGAAGAGTTGTGATCCTCTGTCTGGACCATATAAGGCATTGCATGTCAACATTACTTCAATTAAAAAAATACAATTTTTAAAAAAATGGAGCTTTCTTAAAGTATTAGGAAGGATTTGCGAGAGATGGTTTAAAAGTCAAGACTTAAATGCCACAATGCAAGTCAAATAACCAGAAGAAAATGGTAATCAGATGATAAAAATCAGATGTGGATTTAAAGAGTAAAACAAGGGAATTTAAAAGTTCAAACTCTTGATAACAGAAGATATTAGCAGATATATAGAATCTCAAAGAAGTGTTGGTGACGGGAATAGGTTAATAGCCAATTGAAATACATGGAATTTGTGGAAGAGGTAGAAAAGCTGAGAAACAGAATGCAAATGCAACTAGAGAAATGAAATTCAGTAGAAGATTATGATTGAAGGTAAAATTTGGATTTGTGTGGCTGAGACTGCCAAGAGAAAAGTGCTGAAGCTTCAGTTAAGGAAACAAAAAATAGAGAGTCTCTCGACAGGTTCTATATGACCTGTATTTGAGGGCCTATAATAGATATTGATTCGGTATCTGTTGAGAAAATCAATGAAAAGATGAAATTAAGAGCAAAGGATGATACACGGTGATTAAAAATGAGAAGTGATAGAAATAATGCTATAGAAGATGTTTTAAGAATAAGTGCTTCAGATTTCAAGGGAAAAAATAGCTAAGGAAAGATTGTAGTCATGTTTAAGAGAGTGCTATATAAAGACTTGATGTGAGGGGCAAATTGTAAAATGGAAAGAGAAGGAAGAAAGGAGAAAGCAATAGCATGTTCATATGAGTTTTGTGTTTTTCTTTTTTAAGATTATGGGAGATGCAGTAGAGACAGAGATTGGAGAGACAATAGATCAGGAAATGGTTATTGAAGCAAGATTCTGGGATAAGTAAATTAGAAGTAAGGGTAGTCTTGAAAAAGAATAGTGAAATCTTTCCCTGAGACAGGATTAAGGCAGAAAGGAAGCTAGATATCATTCAGAAAATCTGAAGTATTAAGCAAAGGGGTCAAGGAAATGTATTACACATATTAGAATGTAAGCCCATCAAGGTGAAGACTTGGTCTTACTGACTCATAATTCCATTGCAAAAAACAGTACCTGTCCCCCACTAGGTTCTCAATAATTACTGAGTGATTGATGGTCTGTCATTTCTCACTAATATATATGTTCCAAGGTTA